TCCTAAAGGACACAATATAAACGTAAGTGGTTTTAGAAACAAACTTTAAAAAAATATTTTGTAATATAAGTACAACCCAGTATAGAAGAACTGATATGATATAGTACTTCATCTTAAAAAGAGGGAGTCTTGATTTAATGATTTCTCCTCTAGGGCACTTATCTGAATACTAGAAGATCTGAATTTGACCCCCCTTCCAAAAAAATTGAGGTGAACTGAAAAGTTGACTCCTTTTTCACATCTGGAACAGGGCAGCAGGGATTTATACTAGAATGACTGGATGGCAGGGAGTAAACATGATAGATGCTGAAGGAAGCAATATGTTTAGGTCAGTATATAAGGCTACGTCTAAACAGCATGCTCACTGATACTTAGAGCATTTCTAGAATACCAGAGCCCAATACTAGAGATTTCAAGGGGGCCTGCAGGTGGTATGGTGGGTAAGGGCTCTAGACTTCCACATAACCAACCATGATTCAAGTTCCAGACCTGGCAGCTGCCCCTCTCATTCTCTCTCTCTCTCTCTTACTCTCCCCCCCACCCCCCACACTCTGTCCCTCTCTCATCAAATTAAAATAAATAAATAAAGTTAAATAAATATTTTAAAAAGCTAAAAAAAAAAAAAGGAAATTTCAAAATCCTTTGAAAGAATAAAAAAATACCCTTGACTTAAAACCAAGTAAAAAGTTACATTTAAAGTGTATACTATAGAGGTTACAACTATGCATACAGAATTACCATTACTGGCTGTTGAGAGAGGCAATCTTCCAGGGATGCCCTCAGCAGCCCTGCACGTTGCTGCCTGGTGTATGAAGAACATACTGCCCTAACCTCTCTTTCTTTAGGCCATCTCTCAAGGCTGTGTTGGTAACCAATAACCATGAGGAGTGAGAGAATGTCTCCCAGACAAACAGCCCACACTGTTACTCAGCACTTCTCCCATAGCACAACCCACCATATGTGCAGGCATCAATGATGGGGCCTTCACCATGCCCAGAGTGATGGCAGCTTGCACAAGACCCTGCACAGCTCTCGACACTGACACTGGAAAGAAAATTTCTATGATTAAGATGCACTTACCGGATCCAGATTCTTAAATAGCAGGATGTCTTTGCATGCCTCTTGCAACCTGTTCCTTTGATCATCCGTTTTTGGATGTATAATCTACAGGACATCAAAAAAAAAAAAATAAAGCAACAACAAAAAGACATTAGTGGGTACCACTTCATTCATAAAAAATAAAAAGCTCCTAGCAAAAATCAATAGGGATGTTTGAAAGAATCGTCAGTACTCAAGTTCACTTGAGGTGAATGCTGAGATTTACTTCAGGTGACTTGCATGCATTAGCCACTAAGTAGGGGACAGCAGTACAACTTGTCTGGGGAGAGGGTGGTGGTAGCATACATTTCATCAGTACAGCACTTGGATGGTTTTCAAAAGAGTATTTTCCCTGGGAACCAGCAGTTAGAGTAATAGCTATGTCGCTGGACTCCCATGTAGTCAACCACAGTTCGTGTCCCAGACCTGGTGGCTTAAATCTCACGCCGGGCGCATGTGCGTGCGTACCCAAGATCCTGAGAGGAGAATGGAGGAGAAGGGATTGCGGCGTGACCATCCCCCCTGGGGGGGTGATTTCTCACTTTCTGTCTCTATGTCTCTCTCTGTCTGTCTGGCAAGTGCACACGCCCTATAGCAAAAATCTCTCTCAAAAAAAAAAAAAAAAATAGAGTATTTTTCCCCTAGGTTAGCAAGTTCATTATATAAAACTCTGTTAGAAAGACTTCTAAGCTCCCAGCCAGTGGGGCTACTTACTAAAGGACAAAAGGTTACAAGAGCTACAATAAAATCTAGACTGCTTTTATGGTTTCTTCTGAATTTCATACTCTTTCAGGATGTAGCTCTTTTCTTTAAAACTTGACAAAGTCTCTAGAAGCAAATAAATTCTTAAACGCATATTGCGTTTGGCCCAGCTGGGATAGTACTTGCTCAATGCTGCTACTCAGCCAGCCAAGCTCACGTGGGAGGCCTGGGTTCAATTCCTGGCCCATCCTAATACAAAACTGGGTAGTGGCACACCTGTGGTCCCCAGCTAGCCAAGAGGCAAGAGGATCACAACGTAGTGAGACCTGTCTAAAAAATAACACCACCCACACACCAGTGTATATTGCACTAGATGTTAAGTAATGCCTCCACAGAAAGTGACTTTCAGAAGGGAAAAAGCAACAGATATAGCCACTCCAATGGAGTGTTCAAGGGACCATGAATCCAAAGAGTGGTGGTACACTCCTTTCATTTAGAAGGAACTCAAGGAAAACGTGGGCACTGTCCCCCAGGATGTTGAAGACTGGCAGCATGCCCACTGCAAGAGTGGCCTGCAAGCTCTCCAGAGTCCCTTAGGGCCCATTCTTTTGTGACCCTTGGTAGTTTATACAATGAACTAGAGGAAAGGGACAGTCCTAAAACCAGCAGACACGGAGCTGGTTTCCTGGATACTTCTATGTCACCTCTTCCTATTCCACTGTTTACTCATAGGGTGACCTTCGGAACTGATGTGAGGTGCCTCATCTCTTCAGTCAGCTGAGCAACCTGAGCCAGGCAGCAGTGGGTTTTGTACCAAGAAATACATAAAACATGGGAAAATGGAAAAAAAAAAAAAAGAAATACATAAAAACTCAAAACAGAAAATTGAAATCAGTACTCCAAACCACATCCGATTAAAAATTAATAAAAATCTTAAGCCTGAAAGTTGAGAAAATTTACAGTACATGTGAACTATTGATATGTAAACTTTTCATGGGTCCTATGTAGATGCATTATTTATAGACTAGGTGAAAGAAGTCACTCCATTTTCCCTATAAGGGTAAGGTGCATGGAAACCTCTGCTTACTCTCTGGTCAACGTTCATCTTAAAATAGATTCTAAAATGACACGGAGCACAGAAAAAACAGATCCTCCCACCTGCTAACAGGCAGCTGTAGCAGAAACCTTTACACGTGGATTTCAACTAAATCATACAAACCAAAATTCACTTCTCACTTCAAATAAGGAAGGCTAACCAAATAAAACAAAACAAACAAAATGTTATTTCGCACTTGACAAAACCCATCTAGAACTTCAAGCTGCAGCAACCATACATGTTTGCCTGCTGAGTAGCTCTGTCTTCAACGAGAAAACCTGAGGGATACCACGTCGCCATGGTATACCTGCTTCCCTCCCGTGGTCCCTCTAAGTCTTCATTTTCTTCTCTCTTTTTTTTTTTTCTTTTTAATTTTGCCTGTGTGTGTGTGTGTGTGTGTGTGTGTGTGTGTGTGTGCACGCACACTCACAGGAGGGAGAGAGTGAGCAAAAGTGAGGAAGCACCCCCATAGGCATAGTCATGTAGCAATCACTTCTCGCTCTCTCCTTCCTTTTGAGATTTTGGGGACACATGTACAACCACCTGGCTGTCGGGCCCAGGATTCAAACCACATGGCTGACCATGTGGGGACTGGCCTCCATTTAGGTCTTTCTCCTGGATCCATTCATTTCCTATGAAGCTCTCCCACAGAAGCTAGCTTGTCCTCTTGCTCTTCCTCACTGCTGCTCCTATTTTTATCAAAGGCCATTTGTCAGGGGTCTTTGTGTCTGAAACCTGCTTCCACTGCTACTGTCCCCTGCTTTCGTCTTGCCTCTGGGCCTTCTCCTGGCCATTGCTCCTCAGTACCCAGAGCCTCTTAGATATCTACTATCCTCTTCCCATCAAAATCCCACCTGTGGTCCTAGAAGACAAACAGCAATCAGATGCAGTCTCTGATGCTCTGGCTCCTCTGCCTCATAGCCTCCTGCTCAGATGATGTTCTCCCATTTCTACAGGCTCACGTTTTCCTTCTGGGCTACAAATGAGATCTACCTCTGAAGCCTCAGCAATATACCCAGAGTGTGATTTTAATGATACTAGAAGCCTTTTTACTTTCTCACTAATTTTTTTTTCTGATTTCAGAATAAAAACATTTGTTAAACAAACATTTATGTAGCATTTACTACATGCTGGGCACTAATTCAAGGTCTTTACAAATATTAACTCAGTTTACTCTAGTAACAGGCCCCATGAAGTTTTCAATTTAGGGTACCAATGTAGAGTTAAGAAAATGAACTTGCCCAGGTATCTTCTCAGCATCACAGATTATAAACTGTGGAGCCACGATCCATTACAGGAAGGCTGGCTACAGAGTCTACACTAAACCTGGGATCAGCAAACTACACCTGTAGGTTATTTTTTTTTTTAATATGGTATCTAGGTAAAGACTGGCCTTACATTTTTATAATGTTTTAAAAAATCTCAAACAAAATTTAATATTTCCTGATCCATGAAAATTACATGAAATTCAAATTCCAGTGTCCATAAATACATTTATTTCAGTGTCTTTTGTTTTTGCTATCAGAGTGTATGCTCGCTGGAGACAGAGAAAGAGAGAAAATGTGAAAAATCACCACTCCAGGGGTGATGACCACATCACAATCCCTTTTCCAATTTCGTCCTGGGATTTTGGGCACATACACACATGCACTGTAATGTTTTTCAAGCCACTGGGTCAGGACCCAAACCATGTAGTCAGCCATGTGGGTTCCAGCCACTTTAACTTCCATGCCATCGGCTGGCCCCTATAAATACAGTTTTAATGGAACATAAACATGCTCTTTCATTTGTTATCAACGGCCACTTTCAAGCTACAAAAGAGCTGAGTAGCTACAAAAGAGTCCTTAGGATTTCCTAGCCTAAAATATTTACTTTCTCAAAGCAGTAACTTTTTCAAATAAAAACCAAAAATAAAAACTTTACATAAAGTTTGCCAACTCCTTGCTCTAAACTGCCTTTCAATGAAAAAATCAGAAAACTAATAAATAAAGTTTACTTGGACATTTTCTTTAAAGAACACTATTTTATTAAGCAAGTGAGAAATCTGTCCAAGATATGTTTATATTTATCCGGTTTGTTCTCTAGAGAGCTGAAAGTAATCTTTCAAAATCGACTGGGTCGTTGGGAAACTCATGACACATTTTTCTATGCCAAAATGCATCATGACTTTTCCGACAACCCAATAAATCAGAACGCCCATTCTGCAGCTTAAAACCTCAATGGATTCCATCTTGTTTATACTGAGAATTAAATCTGTACGCCTTCCTTCTCTGCCCTCACCTCAGCCACTCAGCCCAGCTACACCTGCTTTCATTCAGATCCTCAAACTCCTCCCCCTCTGATGGACACAGGTCAAGCCATAAAACAATGCAGGCTTTTGGCAACACTCTCTCCCTGCCCATCCTTCCAAGTCATCTCAAGAAGGCCTTTTCCAACCACTCCATAGAATTAGGACCATGGTTGATTTGAGGGATTTTGTTGTAATTCTTACACTGTATCATTGTTCTTTTAGCACTTCATATTTTGTAATTATTCATTAATTTACTGCCTGTTATCTGTGTCTGCCATGAAACTAAACTCCGAGAGGGCAAGAATTTGACTGCTTTGCTCACTGTTATGTACACCTAGCACCAGGCAAGATATGCACAAGGCACTCTCAAAAATTTCTGTGAAACAACAGAACAAAGAAATACTCTCTCTACTCTTATCACCTCTTCTCTACCAGTTTCTACATGCTCAATGGATAAAAAGCCTTAAATTTCCAGTTATAAATATAATTTATATTTTAATATAATTTGCTATTTTCCCAAATGAGTCTTCAGTTATAAAGTTTCTTTGAATTCATGTCAAGGGATAAATGCCTAGTTATATTAAGAGTTAGCATCCAAGCAAAAAAATGTCTGGGGACCAGGGGTAGCATGTTGGTTGAGGCATTAGACACGCCCACATAGTCGACCACAGTTCAAGTCCCAGAGCCGGTATCTTGCTTTTCCACTTTCCCTCTCACTCTCTGTGTCTCTCTCTGGTCATATTAAAAATAAATGAATGAGGGCCGGCAGGTGGTATGGTGGTTAGGGGCACTGAACTCCTATGTGACCAACCACAATTTGAGTCCTGGACTGGTGGCATCCTTCTCTGGGCATTGTTAAATAAAGTTCAATAAAATAATTCTTAAAAAAAAAAAGAGTAATGAATGAATAAATAAAATTAAATAAGTACTTCTTAAAAAAAGGAAAAAAGTTCAAATGATACAAATTAGAGTATTTATTTTCCTCACAATTTCAAAAACCCATCTAGATCAAATTAATTTTGAAATCTATAATAATCAAGGACTATGGTACAGTTTGTCTTATAGTTTCTGAGATCAAGAAAACATTTGTATGATGTTTAGAAGAAAGAATATTCAACCTAACTGAGAACCTAAAGTACTTTTTCATAATCATTAACATATAATTAATATATTAATTACCAAAAAATAGCTTGAAAAGGTGTTACAGGGACAGTTGTTGAGGTGAACGCCTAACCCACAGAGTCCTCCTCCTCTAGGAACTGCCCTTCTTTACAGCTGTGATTCCCAAGAGCCAGGTCTGGACTTCTTGACCCTGTCACCAACTTTGGCTGAAGTTCAGTTTATGAAAAACTTCTAGGAAACTGGATTTTGAACTGAGAGACACAGCAATAGAGACTGGTGGCTGAGGATCTTTCAAAGACAATACTCTAAGTGTTACACCCATGTTTTGAAGGAGCCCAGAAGTGGGCTAGTTCCTGCCAGCTAGCTACAGCCTGGCCTTTGAACTCTTTCTGGGATTTTACAAAATCTCCAAGCATTTCTCCAATAATGTCTCCTCAGTAACTCTTTGAAATGTGTATTTCAGTGTGATTGGGTTCATATATGAAACCAAATAAATTAAAAAAAAAAAAAAAGAGCCAAAAACAAGAGAGAGAGAGCCCACGAGAGGTTCCATAAGGTTTCCCTGTGCAGCTGTCCTCTGGCCCCAATTTCCCAGATTAGGTAGGTCTGGGATCCAAACCTGGGCCCTCCTTTAGCTCCTGCATTGCACGGCCTAATGCCTATACCACGGAAGCTGAGCCAGCCACCAAGTAAATTTTAACTGGTAAAGCCTCCCCAGCAAAACTGGAAAAATTAGTTGGAGTGAACCAGACAAACCACTTTGCCTATCTCATGGACTAAATGGTAACTAAAATTCCTCTAACGGTCTAACAGTTTTTGAGTTAATGAAATACTGCATATTGTTTTCAATCTGTATTGTTCATTACTCTTTCATTTATATTTTTATTAATTTAAACAAGTTCATCCAACTAAAATCTAATTTGCTATTTTCCCAAATGAGTCTTCAGTTTTAAATTTTCTTTGAATTCATGTCAAGGGATAAATGCCTACTTATACTAAGAGTTAGCATCCAAGCCAAGGAAACTTATTTCAATCATGTTGACTGATTTATATACAAACAGAAAGAGCAGGTGTAATCTCTAAATGTCACCCATTGTCATTTCTGCTACATAGCTAAATAAAGTATAAGATAGGCTAAGTTAGTTGTACAGACTACACAGAATGGTAACAGCATGCCATGGATAGTAAAAAGTATCTTGATTCTTTTTTTTTTAAATTGTCAGAGGGCACATGCATTAGCCAGACAGAGACAGAGAGAGAAAGCATCCCTAATGGCGTGTGGCATGCTACAACCCCTTCATTTCTCCATCTTGCCAGAGTTTATAATAGACAACCAGGCATATGTGCCCAGTGTGTTTTTCAAGCCACTAGGGCTGGGACTGACTGAACCATGTGGGACCCAGCTTTCTTAACCATACCAGGTATAGGGCTGGTCCTTTTTTTTTTTTTTTAAAGAGAGAGATATGTGCTGTAGGGCATATGCACTCGCCAGAGAGACAGGAAGCAAGAAATCACCCCCCAGGGGGGGATGGCCATGGCACAATCCCTTCTCTATTCTCCTCTCAGGATTTTGGCATGCACGTACACACACCTGGCATGAGGTTTAAGCCACTGGGTCCAGGACTCAAACCACAATCAGCTATGTGGGAGTCCAGCGACATACCCATTACACCATCTGCTGGTCTCAGGGCTGGCCCTCTTGATCAATATAATTTCTAGGCTAGGATTTGTGACCGGCAAAATAATTTAAATTCTGGTAGTAAGAAATGACCTTTCCTGGGGCCAGCAGGTGGCTTGGTGGTTAAGGCACTGGATCCCAACATGGCCAACCATGGCTCAAGTCATAGATCTGGTGGCTTGCTTTCTTACTTTCTCTCTCTCTCTGTCTCTCTTTTTCTCTCTGGTGAATTAAAATAACAATAATAAATAAAATTAAATAAATAATTCTTTAAAACAAAAAAAAAGAGGAACCAGCAGATGACATAATGGCTACATCACTGGACTCCCATGTAGTCGACTGTGGTTCAAGTCCTGGACCCAGTGGCTTAAACTCACACCAGGCGTGTGTGCGTGCATGCCCAAGATCCCGAGAGGAGAATGGAGGAGAAGGGATTGCAGTGTGGCTATCCCCCAGGGGGTTAAGGCCTCAAGCTGAAAATATCCATTGGTACAGAAATAAATGTGATTTCAAGATCTGTGTCATAAGGCTTCTGATCTTACTGGCAATGGATTTTAAATATATTTTAGGGAGCTTAATGATACAATGAATTAGGGATACATTATCTATTTTTTTCCATATTAATACTCAATTTTGGGGCCAGCAGGTGGTATAAGTTAAGTTAAGTGGTTAAGTTGCTTGGCTCCCATGTAGTTGACTACGGTTGAAGTTCTAGACTTAGCAGCTTGAAACTCACACTGGGAGCGTGTGGATGTGTTCCCAAAATCCTGAGAGCAAAATGGAGGAGAATGGACTGGACTGTGGCATGGCCATACCTGGGTGGGGGGTGGGGGGAGGGATTTCTTGCTTTCTTACTCTCCCTGTGTCTCCAGTGAGCACATGTGCCCTACAGCAAAAATCTCTCTCTCAAAAAAAACAACAAACAAACAAACAGAAAACACACACACACACACACACACACACACACAACTCAATTTTATTGAAACATTTTTCAGAGCTACAGAAAAAAATTTTTTTTTTTAATAATACTTTTTAAGGCCTCAGAGACAAGGGGACTTTCATGAAGTATGTACTCAAAAGGAAAAAATAAGGGTAAATTATTACTTTTCATTTCCAGGTATAGTCATTTCATTTAGTTTTACTTTTCACTGAAAAAATAATGAGAACTGAGCTTCAAAACTGCTTTTAACTACACTGGAAAAATTCTTATAAAAATAGAATCAGATGCTCTAAGAAATCAGATGCTGAGCAAGCTATCAGGACTAATAGATTTAAAACAATAACTGCTATGCTGACATTTTAGATGTAATTTTGCGATGGTTTGTTCGTTTCAGAGTAAGCTTCTGCTGTTTTAAACTAATAAAAATAGGTCTTTCCTTGTCTTTTTCTTTATTAGAAACTCTAAGAAAAAAATATTATCACTTTGAGAAAGATACTTGAAGACATTTTCATCACCAGGATGTGGTTTTATTTCTTTTGCAAAACTACAGTGAGTCTATAATGTTCATCTTTCCTCCTATCCAAAGAGATATTATACCATTATACAAAAATAATTACACAGAACTTTAAAGTAGACGTAGGCTATCAGAGATAAAACTAGGAAAAGAAATAGTTGAGATAATTCCATTATGTCTCCTGTTAACCTGTAGGCCTCTTAACAGCTTTTCTATTAATCTCTTCCTGTAACACAGAATATCCATTTAAAATTCATTCGTTCAGTAAATTACATACCCTGGACTCTGCATCATCTTCTTCTTCATCAGGATTATAAGCTTCTGCACATACTATAAATATAAAAATAAACATTTTAAAGATTCTTTCATCAAAAAACATCGTTTTTAAAATTAAGGAACAAAAACAGTATCATGGTATAAAAAAACATTAATTTGTCTCACACAGGAACAAGCAATCTTCTCCCCCACATTGATTTTATATTACAATTTATAAGAAATTTCTTAAAATATAAAGCTGCATTTTAAGAAACTGACAATGATTTTCTCTGCCTTCTATTTAGAAAAACAGGTTACATCCTTTTATCTTCATTTCCAAGGCAGAGAAGTGGATAAGACCTAAAAATTACCTGAAAGAACAGAAACAAACAAAAAGTCTAAGTCTGCCAAGAAATGATCAATTTAATCATATTAGTTAGGAGTAACTTTCATAAATTATCCATAATCTAATTTTTCAAGAACACTGTTAATAGTTTGCATATTCCCTTCCAGTCTTTATTCTGAGTTGAACTTACATTGCCTATGCAATTTTTTTTTTTTAGAGGTTTTTGCTATAGGGCGTGTGCGCTCGCCAGACAGACAGAGAGAGACAGACAGATAGAAAGCAAGAAAGGGGGGATGGCCATGCCACAATTCCTTCTCCTCCATTTTCCTCTCAAGATCTTGGGCGCACACGCACACGTGCCTGGTGTGAGTTTAAGCCACCGGGTCTGGGACGTGAACCGCAGTCGACTATGTGGGAGTCCAGCGACATAGCCATTACGCTAACTGCTGGTCCCAACATTGCCTGTGCAATTTTAAAACCTACATTTTTGTTTAACAATGTAAGAATTTCACATTTCTTCAGAAATATTTTGTAAATATAGTTTTAAGGAATGCAGATTATTTATCATATGCTATAATTACTTACTTCCCTAATGCTGAATATTTAGCAGTTTTTTTTATTAAAAAACTTTGCAATAAGCTTTTCATGCACAAACATTTGTCTATAGTTCAGATTATGCTGTAGGCATTAACCCAAATATTATTTTGGAGAACTAAAATATATGACCAATTTTTGTTTGTTCGTTTTTGTTTTTTAGATTTTTGCAAGAGGGCATGGGAAATCACAAGACAGGCACACAGATAGACACAGGGAAAGTTAGAAGTCAGCCCTCAGGGGCATGGCCATGCCGCAATCCCTTCTCCTCTATTCTCCTCTCTGGATTTTAAGCACACAGGCACATGTACCTGGCACGATTTTCTAGTTACTAGATCGGGGACTCAAACCCCAGTCAACCATGTGGGATCGAGCACCTTAACAACCATGTCGCCTTCTGGTGATCATTTTTAAGGAATATTTATTATCATGTTTCTTTCCAGAAGAGTTATACCCATCCACAGTCCTCCAGAGAATGTTTTTTAAAAAAATAAAATGAAAAATTAAAAAAAGGCTCCACTAACCATTCAGCAGAATTGGATGAGAAAAGATTCTAATTTTTTAAAGAATTATTTTATTTAACTTTATTTATTTATTTATTTATTTTTAATTTGATGAGAGAGAGAGTCAGAAAGCAGGCCACTAGGTCTAGGATTTAAACTGCAGTCAGCCAGCCATATGAGAGTCTAGCACCCTCAACCACCACTCTACCTGCCAGCTCTGAGATTTTAATTTTAAAAAGTATTAAACTTGAACCATTTTCAAATGTTTATATGCAGACTATATTTCTTCTTTTGTCCTTATTTATAGGAGATATTTGGTTTTCTTTTGGACTTAAACCAATTTCTTAATAGCCTTTTATCTGTTATATTTTCACAACTGTTTTATCCAATTTGCTTTTTAATGATAATTACAAAGTTTTTACAGATTACACATATTTATTTTTAATACAGTAACATTTACCAGGAAAGAAAATTCCCCAAATCTGAATTAAAGCTAACATTCGCCCTCACAAGAGAACTTCTGCTTTTAGGGTTGAAAATCCTTTCCTTGTTTACAAATCAAAAAAATTGCTACTTCTTTTTTCTTCCAGTTTTATTTTAAAGGCAGATCTCTTACATTTACTCTTTAATCCACAGGGACTTAATTCTAGCATGGTAATATAAAGAACAAAGGATAGGTGAAAGGCTGACAAAGATCTTCCCAGGGGCAGGCAGTTAAGAGTATTACCATGATTAGAACCACTATACCCATTATTGTAATAAGCCGTCCATCCTCAGTGTTCCTCTCTCCAGGCACTGCTCCACAGAACCCCCTAGACCAAGGGTTCTTAACCATGTCTAGTTTTCCCCTCCCCAGAGGAATCTGACAGTGTCTACAGACATTCTGACTGCCATAACTGTGAGGAGCCAGAGAGGCCGCTACACATCCTACAATGCATAGGACTGCTCCCACCTCCTAGGACAAAGAATGATCTAGAACCAACAGTCAATAGCACTGAGGCTGAGAAACCCTGACCCAGTCAGTGTATGTTACCTCATTCACTCTCACAACAACCCTAAGATAGTTGTTAATGTCATCACAGATGAAAGACTCGGTCATACATCCTAATAAATGACAGGATCCATATCTGAATACAGGATAGTCTGTCTTGATTCAAGCCTTTGTTCTTAACTACTGTGCTTGAAGGCTTTGGTGAATTCACCAGCAAAATGCCTAGACTTCAGCCTTCTTTCTCAGAAACCTATCAGAGGCTGACCTGTCTCTCGGGGTATGCTCACATTAAACAACCTCACTGATGCCTATAACCAGAATGTCAATTTAGTAACTTAACTTCCTGAATGAAGTATACGGTCAGCATGACCAGCCAGTTCTCTCCCTGCAGGAAAACCACAGAAGTCAAATCAGAATTAAACAGTTGCCTGGTAGGCAGGAAATGGAAAGGAAGAGAGATTGTCAAATCAACTGAATGTTTAATGACAACGGGCTGGACAGTCTACGACATTCACATACACAGTACAGATGGCCCTGCTAATGAGGCTGGGACACTTTAATTAGACTGGCTGCAACTCTCCAGAGAGCACGAGGCCATGTACAGTACTCCTGCAGCTTGGCTCTGTAACTTTCTGTCTCCATGCTAACCACGTAGGCTACACAATTTGTAGAGCCTAGTGCAAAAAGAAAATAAGAGCCTCGTGTTAAAAAAAAGTAAGCCTTTTCAGGGGACAGCAACAGAACAGCTTTAAGCCAAACATACGGCCCTTGTGAGTATGAAGTCGGTCCTAGCTCACAGCATCAGAACATTCAACAAGCTGATGGAGTAGTCTTAAGATATTTGGTTCTTTGAAGTAATTTGTCAAATAAATATCCTCTGACCTATAATGCTGATCTGAAATTTTAATTCACAGAAAACAACCTTAATCCTCTAATTTATAAATTTCTGGCTTCTAAACCCTGGTATAAACGCACATAGAGGGGATGGCAGGTGGCATGATGGTTAAGGTGGCAGGACTCCCACATGACTGACCACAGTTCCGAGTCCTGGACCTGGCAGCTTGCTTTCTCACTTGCTTTCTCTCTCACTGTCTCTCTCTGGTCAACCTTAAACATCTAAAATATAAAAAATAATGACAAGGAATAAAATTTTTTTTAAAAAGTACACAGAGTAAGAATCTGTTGTTTTTCCAAATAGCTTATCAACTGTCTCAGTATTATTACTTAACAGCCTCTTGATTTGTGATACTTACTTTATCACATGGTATATATGTTTTGTTTTTTTAAGCTGTTTCATGGAACTATTTATTGTGCCAATAGTGTAAGAATTTAGTTTTTGGCATTTATGTTACAATTGTTTCACTAGATTAGAATTCATCAATCATCACCTTCTATAGCCAAGTCAAAATAAAGCACTTGCGGCTTTGGAAAGCTGTTGTGGTGCTTTATGGTTCCTTACTGTCATTGAAACTGTTTTCTCTACTGGAACTCCTTCCATATTCTCCTTTCCAAGCCATCTCTCTGTCCAACCTCAACTAAAAAGTTGGCTTAAGGGTCACATCTTGACCTCTCACCTATACAGAGCTAATTTAGGATGTTCTGCTTACTTTTTAAAAAAAATTTACCAGGGGGAACATACATTCCAAGAAGACAGACTGGGGGCAGGGGTGAGAAAGCACCTCCAAAAGGGGCATGGTCATGCCACTATCTCTCTCCTCCATTTCTGCTTTCAGGATTTGGGGCATGGTGCACACACACAGGGTTTGTTTCTCAAGCTGCTGGCTTGAATTGTGCCATGTGGGATCAAATGGCCTCAAACACCGCACTATCAGCTGGCCCAACTTTTGTTTAAGTTAATTCATTATTCTCGTCCATGAGAGAAAGAGACAGAAAAACAGGCACTCCCGACAGGTTTTACACTGTGATCTATCCCCACCCTCAGTCAGCTCCAAAGTACACAAAGAGACCTGGGATATGAACCCAGGACCTTTGCATGTGGGTCTAGCATCACAGAGTACTATATTATCATGATGCTACCAGCTAGCCAGAAACTCCACTTCTGTGCTCATCCCCTGCACTTCAGTACAGTGGGAAGAGCTCATTATGACGATGTACCATATTAACCTCTTTCACATACATTACGATCCGTTTGCCTCTCCAGGTTGAGACTTGCAGCCCTTCAGGGACTCTCTGTATGCTCTTGTCCATCTCTGTGTTTCTTCAGCTCATCCTGCACACTGGTTGCCTCAAATCACAGGCTTTTTTGAGTGAATGACTAACTAATGAACAAACAAACATGAATGGTCCTTGAGGACAGAGATAATCTCTCTTTAACATTTTACAATAGTATACTGGTATTTTAGACCCTTACATGCATGTTAAATGAATGATTAAATGGGAAGTTGCTCTGTGTTAAAATGTCCTCACTACTGGTCCAAGAAATGGGGTCAGAGAGGGTGAGTAAAAAATGAGAGCCTTCGGGACCAGCAGATGGAGAAATGGTTACGTTGCTGGACTCCCAGGTAGTCGACCACAATTCAAGTCCCGGACCCAGCGGCTTGAAACTCACACTAGATGAACGTGCCTGCATGCCCAATCCTGAGAGGAGAAGGGAGGAGAAGGGATTGCAACATGGAAATCC